AAGAGTCAAGTGGGAAAGGAGCAGACAACAGAGGTTTTATCTTTGTGGAAGGCCCATATCCAGGATGGTGAGGAAAAGGTGGCCCAAGAAAGATGGAGAGCCATAGAGGTGGGCGAGAGCTCCTTTATGCCCAGGAGGCAGGAGGTTATAGACATAGGAAAGGGGTATATATCATCTCTGTTAAAGGTCATAGAAGCTGGCTGGGAGTTACCTTTTTGGACAGAGGTCATATTTCACAGTAATATGGACACAGCACAGTGAGGAATTCAAGATCATGTCTTAAAATAACTCAGCATTAAAAAACAAAACAAAACAAAAAAACTAGTTTCTGAAGGCTTCACCTGGGGGCATGGGGGTGGGGAGGATAAAACAGCAGGCGCAGCAGTCACTGGGATTGCTGGAGTCCCACCTGGCCTTGCCATGGTGTGACTTTTACTCTGAAGCTGCTTGTTAATTTCAGTTATGCAAAGTTCTGAATCTTACCCTAATAGAAAGTGAAAGCAAAAAGAAATTCCCCTCCATTCAAATCTGCAACAGCCGTGGATTAAGGTAACACATCAACATTTCTCTTGACTTTGCCTTAAAATCATTATTTTTTTCAGTGAGAATAATGACCTGAACTGAAGGTATAAAGCTTCTGTCTTGAGGAGCTCTTGCAGCCTAAGGTGGGGATCTGGGGAAGGTGGGTGAATCTGGCACTACTGTATTGGAAAGTTCCTGCAGTGCAGTTAAGGATAGGATTTTATTTAAGAATCTGTTTAACTGACTCACTCTCTTTTGGAGATTCTCTTAGCTTTTCCCAAATGTTTGTTGCAGTTCTTGTATCTTCCATCTCCGGATGTTTTGTTCAAAACACTAAAGCACAGTATAATGGAAAACCCATTAGACAAAGAGTCAAAGAACTGTATTTTAGTCCCGATTCTCCTTCAAACTTCCTATGTGATTTTGGGAGAGTCACTCACCCTCGGTTTCTTTATCTGGACACGAAGGACTTGTACTAGCTGGCCTTTAAAGTTCTTATCAGTTCTAAAGTTAAAGACTACATGAGTAAATATCAAGGCCTTTTTCTCCTCTCTTACCAAAAAAATATAACTTCCTTTGGGTATGTCTGCTACATGTGGGGGCAAAGCGCCATAATTTAGGCCAGAGAATGTGAGTTATAGTAACCACAATAAAAATTTAATGTTTAATATTCATTACATGCTTCCTACATGCTAGTTGCTGTGCTGTGCCATATTCTTCACATGAATTATTACACTTAATCCTCTCAATGTTAGTGTCAACCATTACCCTATCTTATAGGAGAGGAAACTGATGCTCAAAATAATCAGAAAATTTGCCCAAGATCATTCAGGTTAAGTACAATGGAGCTAGAGTTGGGACACAGGCACTCTGATTCTCAAGTCCAGGACCTAACAAATACATAATTTCATTTTTCAAACCATCAGAAATTCAAGCTAATAGACCAATTATGGTTTGGTATATCAGAGGCCCTTGGAACATTGGGATTTGGTAGCAATAATTTAATGCTTGTCTAAAAAGAGGGGAGGAGTGTTGTTATTTAACCATTATTTTCTTCTTTTTCTTTGTTTCTTTAACAATATTTGTTGATCTGCATTAATATTGCAAATTGGAAAATTGAAGTAACTGTTTAGACAATTAATTCAAAAGAATGTGTTAATGATAAAAAAGAAAAGGAAAGGAAACCATTTATGGATTTAAGTTGAAGCAGGGAGAAGGTAAATAGAGGCAGGTGACAGGGTGGGTGTCAGAACTGAATACCTAAATTAACCACATATATTGTTTGTCCTTATTTTATGTTTTGTAGTGTTACCCTTCTAACGAGAAGAGATTGTCTTAGTTTTATTTACAGAGGCAGTGTGAGTTCAGTTCAATTTGTGTTTTCAAAGGTAGGCTGAGATGAGGAAGACCAAAGCAACTTTTAAAAACACTGTTTGAATATTATAAATGAAATTCTATTTCCATGGCTTTTGATATATTGGAAATAAACTGAGGGTAAACACTTAGCTTGACCAGCATCCTTTATACCAGCAACCATAGAATTGGGCCATTCAGCTAATGTTATTTATTGAAAGACGTGAAGTTCAAGGCCATTGATAATAGTAATATCTGGTATCCAAAGAATATTGAACATTCTTCATGACTTGTTAAGACAAAATAGAGACACCTGTGCAGTTTACATTCAGGTATCCAGACACACTCTTAAAATGATAAAATCAAATGTTAAAAATGCTCAACATGCAATGAATTTACACACCTACCTTCTGCCCACTGCACAGAATGCAGAGGGGATTCCATAGATGTAATTTTAGGGCAGAGTCCCTTCAATTGAACTCTAAAAAATTTTATTTATAATACCCAGATGATAATTTCTACTTTATTTTGTGGATACTTGGTACAATTCACATATGCCCATCTATTTTTCAAGTTATATTTATAAATTGAAATCTTTTTCTTCATGCTATAAATGTTTTTGTTTTTTCTTTCTAGGTTAAGTCCATTTATTGAAACATATTGTTCAGATCCTGAGTGTCATAACTGGAGCCAACACGGTACTATGGAGAACTATGAGATTTAGCCTGGATATTAACTTGTCTTCTAGAGAATAGATTTAGTATTCCGTTCTGCTGTAATGGCTAATTCACGCAGAAAACTAATATTTAATATTTACATAGGATTTTACTGCTCAGCAGTCATCCAAATATGTGTTTGTTCTCAGTTCACAAGTTCATCTACTGATCCGTTCAACAAGGACCATGGGGCTTTCCCAGTAGCCATCAATGGGGAAATATTTCCTTGGCATGAGCTAAGGCTCCCCACCATGGTCATTCCCCTCCACTATGACCTTTTTGTCCACCCAAATCTCACCTCCCTGGACTTTGTTGCATCTGAGAAAATCGAAGTCTTGGTTCGAGATGCCACCCGATTCATCATCTTGCACAGCAAAGATCTTGAAATCATGAATGTTACTCTTCAGTCAGAGGAAGATTTGAGATACAGGAAACCAGGGAAAAAGCTAACTGTTTTGAGTTATCCTGCTCATGAACAAATTGCACTGCTGATTCCAGAGAAACTTATGGCTGACCTGAGATATTCTGTGGCTATTGACTTCCAGGCCAAGCTAGCTGATGGTTTTGAAGGCTTTTATAAAAGCACATACAGAACTCTTGGTGGTGAAACAAGGTAAGATGTAGCTCCAGTTGTTTATAGTCTTTTGTGATACTTTCCTTATGGGTTATGTCTCTTTGCCAGGAACATGCTTCAGTAGTCATTTATGAAAAGCCCGAAAAACTATGGGGAAACTCAGAAGGAGAAGCTCTGCCATTCCTAAAGGAAATCACAATAAAGATGGGAACACAGGATGCATAAGTGGCTAGAGAGAGAATAACCAGGAGGAAAGGCCAATATATGACTATGACAAGACTGACATGTTTATCTCCTAGGGGAAAGGATGGTCAGTGCAGAGAGAGCTGAAATGCGGAAGGCTTCTCAAAGGAGGTTAGACTTGATCTGCGACGAAAAGGAAATGTACATAAGATTTGGGTTGGGAGAGAGGAAATGAGAGCATGTACGTTGCCCAGGAAACAGCATGACTCAAATCCAGAAGACAGAAACAAGTCAGTTTGGAGAACTGAGAAATATGGTCTATTTGATCAGCTCATGTTTATTGAGCCCATGCTATGTGCCAGGCACCGTTCTAGGCACTGAATGTATAGTAGTGAGATATAGACTAGGGATTGGGAATAATTTACCTGAGTGGTCAGAGAAGTTCTTGGTGAGGGGGAAGTGCATTTAAACTGAGACCTGAACTTTCATGAGGACATCTAAGGGCACAGTGTTCCCAGCAAAGGCATCAGCAAGTGCAAAGTCTGTAAGGCGGGAGTGATTGAGAGACGAAGGACAATGAGAGAGGGAGAGAAGTAGAGTAGAGAGGGGTCAGATCATGTAGAGAGAGACTTAGAGCCTCTTGTTTTAGGCTTTTACTCAGGGGCCATGGGAATTCGTTGGAAAGTTCTGATGTGATGTACGCCTTATAAAGATCAAGTATATGTTGATGGTACATTATAGAGAGGAAAAAGTAGAAGCAGATTAGTCTTTTAGGAGGTCATTGCAATTGTTCAGGCCAGAAAGGATGTTGGCTTGGGCCAGGCTAGTGGTGCAGCTTATGGAGTGAAGTGATTGAACTTGGCATTTGTTTTCAAGTGTAAAACAGACAGAATTTGCTGACATTGACTATGTAAGGCAAGAGAAAGAGAGGAACCAAGGATGCTTCATAGACGGGATGATTTGGTTGTCCAGGGCCAGGGTCCATCTCAGAGGGGAGAGGAGTCTGGTTTCAGTGCTCTCCTACATTTTATCAGTTGCATTCAATTGCCAGTTTGAGAACCCCCCAATACAATGGCTTTGCCACACACTTGTTTTTCTCATGCAGCAAGAAATCCAGAAGTAGGGCATCCCAGGTATGCTACAGTGTTTACCAATATTATCCAGGACCCAGTCTCCTCGTATCTTTCTACTCAGCCATCCTTGGCATATGACTTTCCTCCTAATACAAAATGATTTCTGCAATTCTAGGCATCAAGTCCACATTCCAGGCAGGAAAAGGGGGAAATGGGGGAGAGGAAAATGCAAAAAGAAACATTCCAGCTGAGTCTGACTCCTTTTACCAAGATTTCTCACCCAATGACTTCAACTAGGCCAGAACGAGTCATGTGCCCACCAAGTTGCAAGAGAATCTAGAGAAGTGTTTTTTTCATCAGACACATTGCCTTCCTGAACAAAATCAGGATTCTACTGGAACTGAAGATGGAGAGTGGATATCGGTAGGCGACTTTAGGCCCGCAGTGCCGGCTGCCTACCTCCCCTTCCCCACTTCAGGTGCTCACTGCCCTCTGCAGCTCACATGCGCCCCCCCACAGCCCCCAGCAGTCTACTGAGGATAGCCCTTTCCCAGGCCCACCTCCCCTTCCCCTGGGGACGCTTCCCCTCGTTGCAGCCTCAATTCTCAGAGGCCTATTCTCAGGTCCAGCACAGTATTGGATAGGAAACATTAACTTCTCACTGAGGTACCATGTGACCAGTGATGGTTTATTTCACTTTTTTCAAGTGACAAAATCTCCACCTAAAAGAAATACATTTTAAGGATATAATTTGGGGAGATGAGGGAGACCAGAGGGGGGATTTTTTTTTTAGAGTAGAAGCTTGGAAAGTAACATGCCTCCCATATTAACTGCAGACTATTTCTGACTCTTCTTATGATTAATTAGTCAGCTCTCTTCATACTCAGTCACCTAGTAGGTCTTAGCATGTAGGATGATTTGCAGGACGGTGTCAACAGCATTTTATTACCTCTCTTTTTTTCATACACACACACACACACACACACAATACACACCCACATGCACACACATACAACTTAACTTAAAATACAAAAATAATTCAGTCAACAATAATTCTTTGAGAAGCAGGAAGTCACTACTTTGCATGCAGCACTAAAATTGCGTAAATAGCAAGAAAGATCTTAAAGTTTTGGCTTTTCCATTCTAAGACTTAACTATCATCAAAATTTCACATTAGTAAAAATTATTCCAGGTACTTGGGATTCCTTTACTTCTGTAGGACCTGTTACTGAATCCAAGTAATACCGAGGCCCCAAACAAATCATTTAGCTCCCAGTCTCACTTTTCCAGTCTGTATTATAGAAATACAGTAGACTGAGGCAACATTATCGTGACAGGCCCTCTTTTCCCTCCTCCTGGCCCTTCTCAGCCTTTATCTGTCCCTTGAGCTTTTCTATTCTGCTCTCCTTCTTTAATCAAAATATGCTCTCCAGAGTTGCTGCTTAATTAAAGCTTTAAAGCCCAAATAATAAATCTGTAATTATATCATTTCAAGCATTATCAAGGTGATGGGGTATAGAGATTTGTCAGAGTATCTATCTACCTGTTATAGTCTGAAGGCTGGACCTGCTTTGCCGGCAAGCAGAGAGAGCTAGACGTGTCTCGGGGGGAAGCTTGGGTCCCCCAGGAAGACACTTAGCCAATGACAATACAGAATATGAAAGCCCAGCTCCTTGCCTCCAGTAGGGGAAAACTTGAAGGTGTGGTTTCCACTCCAGAGCTCCGCAGGGATGAAGCTGAAGCTGGCACCGGGCCTGACTTCTTCCTCTTCCCTGTCCCGCTTCCCTCCCTCCTTTACCTGTTTCTTCCC